GGGAAAGAGAACATACTCCTGGAAAGGGGCACTGAGAGAAAATTTTATGGTAATTAAAACTGGTTATGCAGAGCATGAAAATTCTGCATAGATTTGCATATTTCCCACCACCTGTTTTGGGGACTGCAGCAAGGCTAATTAACATAAAGGCTCTGATTAATTCTGCCAGTCATTGAGAGATAATTACAGTGCAAGACTGTAAACATTCCACACTGGAGATTCAGCCTGTTTGCCAACATCTCTCTAAGGGATGAAAGTTTACCATGGAAACCAAGGCAATTTTCCGCCTCCTCTCTCTCAGAAAGGAAGGTCACATTATCTCCTTTTCTTTTCTCTTCTTGTCTCCATGTGTTACTAGGTCCATACTCTACTCGGTTTCATGGAATGCTCAACCCAAGGTCTTTAGTCATTAGCAACACTGAAATCAACCTTCCAGAATACTTTTTTTCCTCTTGACTGTTAGTTACCTAAACACTATAATGAAAGGAAGCAGCAGGTTGATTGAAATATTATGGAGTCATGCATAATACTTGAACTTTGCACATTTTACCATATGGTTCATAGAAACAAAGCACCCAGATTTAAGTGTTGTCTTCAAAATTCTGACTGTATGAAGCCCATTAATGTTTATAAATATGTTTAATTGCAATCCTCAAACTCACAACATTTTAGAGCAGAGAGGACCTCTGGCGATCTTCTAAACTTCCCCACTTAAATACATGCAGTTGCCCCTTGGTATCCACAGAGGATTAGTCCCAGGACCCCCCATGGACACCAAAATCTGTGGATGCTCAAGTCCCTCACAGTCAGCCAGCCCTCTGTACCAGCAGATGTGGAACCTGGGGATAGGGAGGGCCAACTATATAAGAAAAAAATGCGCCCCAGGAGGTTGTGACTTGCCAAAGTTCAAACAGCTAGTTAGTGACAGAATGAGAATTTAAACCTAGGACCTCTGCTTTCATTCCAGTGCTCTTTCCTATACTATAGTGTTTTCCTAAGATATGAAAAATGATAAATAAAAATACATTTGGAAACAAAAGGACATTTAAGGTATTCTTTGGCTTTGTGTTTAGGCATGTGTTATGGGTGTACAACTGAGAAACATTTTTACCGAACTTACATATAAAACTTTGAAAGTAGACTTTTCTTGTTCACCTTTGGACATTCACAGTGGCATAATATAAAATGGCTTTTCATTAATGGCAACAATTATCATTATTTAAATCTTTATGAGATTCAGTTAGAAAAAAGTAATAATTCTAAGTATTTTCATTATAAAATTATTGCATACTCATTACAGAAAATTAGAAAAATATGGTAAAAATGAATAGAAAAATTGATCCATAATCCCATGTCCCAGCTTACCTGTACATTTAAAGACTGAGCAGCAGCCTGTAAACTTGTTCCAGCGAGCTGGACCTATTAAGTAAAGAAATCAGGGAAGTTCTAGTCTAATACTGTTGACATCCATCATCAGAGGTTGTCATCAACAAGCCTCTACAAATGTATGTTTTACTGAGTTAGAACCAAGCGTTATTTATAGTGTATTCCTTCCCAAAGTATATAACCTGATCTAATTGTGATGAAACATCAGACAAATCCAAGTTGAGCAACATTGTACAAAATAACTGGATTGTTATATAAACTAGGATAGAATAAGTGGAAACCAACCCTAGAATGGCAGCAGTGGGAATCAGAAGCAGGAAACATGAACAGTATTTCAAGGTGCTACATAGGATCGTGGCAACTGACTGGATGTAGATGAAGAAAAAAAAAAGTCATGTATTATTCCAGGTTCAAATTTGGAAGACTCAGAAAATGGTAGTGTCATTAACATGAAGATAAGAATTCCATTTTGGATTTATCACATAGCATCAAGATTTCCTGAACTTAAATATAAGTGTTGGTATGGAGATCAGTATAGAGTTCAGAGCTAACTAAAATTAACTGAGTGCTGTGTCCTTTATTTAAACTGAAAGTCCTGTGAGTTGAAATAAGAACCCTCTCCCCAAATAAAAAACAAAAAAGAGAGAGAAAAGAGAAAAAAAGCACCTAAAACAGAACAAAATCCAGAGATTTCTGGAGAACACATTTTAGACATAGTGTAACCAAGGGAGAACTATATGAAAAGATAGTATGTTTAAGATCAAAGGCTAAGAAGTCAGTCAAGGAGCCAGAGGAAAGAGTTTCAGGTACAAAGATTTAAAGGAGATAAAGTTTCTTTGTAATTTTATTTAAATCATGATGTTTCTGGGTAAAAGTTTGTTGAGGAACAAGATATTTACAAGTCTTAAAGTATCTCCTCATTATTTACTAATTATGAGGAAGAAAGTTACCTTTACAGTAGACAAATCTGAGACTCTACCTTAATCAAATGATCAAATTCAGTATCACAATAATGGGACAAGTTGACATATATATAAACACACAAAATGTATGTGTACAAACACACACAGATTAAGAATATATGGTAATAAAGTAACAATTAGTGATGCCAGATGAAGAGCTTTTGGTTGAAAATTGTTCTACGGTTATAACTTTTCTATAGATTTGAAAGTTTTCAAAATAGAAAGTTGAAAATAAAAAGTGAGAGCATCCCTTTACAACTCCATTTAGCTAGCTCCCAACAACCTTTAAAACTTGGCTCAAAAATCATCCTCTCTACGATAAATGTCTTAGACTATACAGGATGAGTTAATCATTTCTTCCTCTGTATTCCCATATATTTTACTATTCATTCATTCATTCATTTGTTCAACAAATAATTATTGAATATCTATTATTTTATGTCCATATATGCTTTTCACTGAACCTCTACCACTAATACCATCAGGCACTATCATCACTAAAGTCACTACCACCAACACTGCTGACCAACACAATTTGAACACTAAATTGGTTCTAGGATTTATCTGAGGTAAAGATCACCAAGTTACACAAAGTATTGCTCTAACAAGTCATAAATAAATTTATCATAAATAAATCTTGATTTATGTTAATATAAATCAAGGGATTGAGACACTCTGATAATCTATCTCCCAAATGTTTTCATTGTTTTATTTACTTTCCATTTATTTACTTTTATTTACTTTCCATTTTCAACCACATCCCAAACTCTTGGGGAGTCAATGTTTGTTTTTATATTCCCTTTCCCTATACCTTAGAGCTAAAATGTGGATGAACAGAATCCACAGCCTGTTTTAGACTTGGGAGAAATTCATGTAACATAAGGGTAATAAAGTTGAACCCCAAACCAGGGGGTTCACAGTCAAGCAAAGGCTCTGAGTAGTCCAAATCAAAATGGTTTGAAACTGTTTTAAAGAAGGGCTATGAGCTGTGAGCTCGGAGCCTTACACAGTAGGTCTCAGGCAATGGGAGCTACATCATTTTGGATGACTTTGTCATTTACTACCTTCAGTCAGCCACCACAGACCACACTCACAAAAACAGTAACCCAGTTGTTACAAATATATTCTGTTTGTAACAAGGAACTCTTTTGTTCACACAGCTGTGGGGTCAATAGCTATACAGTCAACTAAGCTATAGGATTCCATACTAACCATTCAGAATGACATGATTAGATGCTGACAGCACCAGGCTTTAATCAACTTAAACAGTCCCACATTCTGAAATCACTTCCCCAGGCCCTAGCATTCCATGCCTCCATTTTTTACTCTCACATATGGTTGTGCAGAACATTCTACCTGATGGAGATGTCCAAGGAAAGCCTGGGCCTGGGCTGTTGAGATTGCTCCTCCAACAGGCACAGGCTGCTTCTGAAAGTCCAGACCATTGGTTTGTGTGCCTAGAAAACAAGCAAAATAATATAACTATTAAAAACACAAAAACTGAAATAAGCACCAGACTTTTCTTAAACAGGTGCATTTATCAAGCACCTATTTTGTATAAGCATTTTTCTAAGTACCTCCAAGGAGAAGAGATTCAAAAGAACAAGGAAATACAGTAAAATGATTTTTCTTCTAAAGGTAGTACTGTAGGACAAGTACATGAACACAGATAAAGCTTAAGAAACAAACTAAATTATAAATAATGAATTACAATCATAAGATTGTGTTAGTTCAGAAGGGAAAGCAGTGACTGGAGAGCAAGTGGGGTCAGAACAAGCATGAAACCTAAGGTGGCTTGAAGAAGAGATTATCATTATTATACTGTTGGGAAGACTGGTAGAGACAGAGTTCTAAGGGGGGTACCAAGGCTCTCTTCTAGTCTCTCCCTTCTCAGTGCTTGGCTTGGGCAGAAGAAATTCACAGGTGACTTTGCCAAGACCGAGATGAATTTACTCTTAACTTAAAATGCCTTAATAAATGACAATCTGACAGTAAAAGCAATCATTTACAAGATAAACAAAATGGTTTTACTAATTTTTTCAATCCCAAAGTATAGACTGTGGCGTGCATCTAATTAGCAAGGGCTCTGCTATCATTATAATTTTCTAAATGTTATGCCAGTGGCTTTAACCACATATGCTGCAATCTAATGTTAGAATAGGACTAATCTATGGAAAGACATACCACCCTAATACCCAGAAATATTTTCTAAGTGATATAATACATTGTTTTTAAATTACTATATCCAGCTCTTACTTAGAAATAACCAGAATACTTTGTACTGAATAAAATATAACAGACTATGGAAACCTGCAAGAATCACTGAGTCATGTGAACATGGTACTGAGCTTCCATTTCCTACCACTGGAACACCTCATCTTCTCATCCTCACCCCTGTGTGTGCACATAGAGCAGACCAGTTAAAAGAATACAAGTTAGAAACCTCAGGCAGTATTTCTAAAAGGGTGCTAACTTCTGCCATTATATATGCTAGCTAACTGCTAGCAAATGTATCACTTTAATAGAATAATTAAGTAGATCACATGACTCACAGAGCTATTTAAGGTTTCTTTGAGATAATTATTAAAAAAGTGTACATATATTTCACCTCCTTGAAAAATCCCATAGTGATTGTTCTCTTATGGTTTTTCCTAAAATTTCTCATAGATAGGAAATATAGAACTACTTAGACATATACAGCTAATGGAATTAAAAGAGTACATGCTTGTGTCAAGTAGTGAGAAACTAGTATGAAATAAAATTTAAGGTAACTAGGGTCACTTCCATAAGCCACATAGAGAAGTTTCACTATTCTAAAGTTGCACATTTTGTCATTAGCTGCTGTCTATCTTGATGCAGGAAATCATTACTTAAACATCAAGATTTTAAGATTGTGCACCATTAGAGAAACATGCTCAAGATATATTAAATAAATCAACAACGCTAAAAGAAGATAAGATTTTGAAAAACAGAGACAAGCACTTAGAGATTAACATATCACCAAGTGAAGATGTCTTCCAGAACCAAATATTTCACTCTCATGGAGACCATAAAAATTCCACACACTGGTTCCATTTTCAAGTTCTCCTAAAAATGATAACAAGCTTCTTGTAAATCACAAAGAACTATATAATGCAAGACTGACTCATTTCTGGTATCCCTGCTACAAAGCCTACTCCAGTGCCCTACAGGTAATACTATTTAAGTGCCCTGGCTCAGCCTCTTGGGGTTGGGGAGGGGTGGCATAAAGGTATGGTATCCAAAGCATGGTTTGGTGAAAAAAATACTTAGACAACAATTCAGATAAGCAGAGGTCTAAGGCAGGTATTTTTTAAAAAATTAAGGTGCTGAGGCTCCACTGGGAGGTGAGAGGTAGAAGAAAGTAGACATTACATAGAAATCATTCTTGTAGAACATAACGACATAATCTGGGCTAAAGAAAGGAGAGGGGAACAGATACACACACACATGCACCCTAATCAGACTTGAGTATGAAGACAGTATGGAGAGACAGGGATTCTGGGAGCCAAAACCAAATGCGTGCCTGAGAAAACAGCAACATCCAAAGGAGCAACCAGGGAAATTAAAAGGTTGGGGGAGAGGGTGAATTACATAAGAAGTTTAACATAAGGTATAGTATAGAGTTTGAGAACCCCTAATAAAACATCTAAGAAAGGTGATCCAGAGGAATTTAGAAATGACAGAGGCCAGAGCTGAAGAGTTTATAAGGTTGTCTCTAGAACAGTATTACTGAGGTAAACTTCACAGATCTTGTATACAACACCTCCTGGGTGAAGAAACAGAGATTAAGGGATATTAAAGCAATTGCTCAAGATGTCATAGTTAGTTAGTGGAAGAGGTAAGACAAGGAATGGGTCCCTGATTCTACCTAAATTCACTCACAGAGAAGTGGTAGTTGATATTAGGAGAGTAAAAATGTCTATTAATTAAGAATGGATATATGTATAGATCTTCCTTAACTAACGATGGGGTTACATTCTGATAAACCCTTCCTAAATTGAAAATATCATGAGTCAAAAATGCATTTAACACACCTAATCTACAGAACATCATAGCTTAGCCTGACCCACCTTAAATGTGCTCAGAACACTTCATGTTGACTATCTCGTGTAACTTACTGAATAATGTACTGAAAGTGAAAAACGAATGGCTGCATAGGTGCAGCATGGTTCTAAGTATATTGGCTGTTTCCCCTCCTGATCGTGTGGCTGGGAGCTGTGGCTGCTGCTGCCGCCCAGCATCTAGCCCAGGAAAAGATCAAAATTCAAGATGCGAAGTATGGTTTCTACTGAGTGCATATGGTTTTTGCACCATCATAAAGTTGAAAAGCCCTAAGTTCGAATCATGGTAGACTGGAGACCACATATAGAGAAAAGGCGGCTGAAGATAAGAGGGCACTTACATTGGAGATGTGAAGACAAAGAGTCAGAGGAAGCAGTTAGAAAAGTAGGAAACAACCCCCTCAAGACCAGTGTGCCTCAGGAGCCAGAGAAGGCAGAGCTGCAAGGACAGGGTAGTTTAGTACTATGATCAAATGGTACAGAAAAGATAAGGATTAAGTAGTGAGAAAGAAGAAAGAAATTAATCTAAAGAGAACAGAAGAAAGGCATTAATAAAGGTAAGACTAAAAATTAAAGAAATAGGGGGAAAAACACATAACAGAAACATCACCTCGGTTCTTTCAAAAGAATCATATAACTTACAAACATCTGGTAAGTTAAAATAAAAGAGAAGAAGCAAATAATTTAAGGATAACAGAAAGGGCACAATCAAAAAATGTCACAGAAACCAAAAAAGATATTGTGAACCAATAAAATTAAAACTTAGAAACAGATAACTCTCTAGAAACGATAACTTATGAAGATTGACTCAAGAAGGAAAAAAAAAAAAAGCCAAAGAGTCCCACAGCATTTGAAGAAACTGAATTAGTAGATAAAAATCACCGCAAAAAGAAAATGAAAAGCCTAGACAATTTTACTCTGCTTGCTTCCAAAAATTCAAGGAAAAATTAATTCCAATCCTATATACCTTTTCCAGAATGGGGTTAAAAAAAAGGAAACACTTCCAAACATTTTATGAGGCCAGCATAACCTTGATACCAAAACCTGACAAAGATAAGTATGAAAAAGAAAAAAGAAAAAGCAAAAAACAAGCCAGCTGCACTCATTAAATATATGGAAATATCCTAAATAATAATAACAAAAATAATCTAGTAAGAAAAATATTGTGACTAAGATGCATTTATTCTAAGAATGCAAGATTGGTTTGGGGTTAAAAGAAATTCACATAATATGATTACCTACATTCATTGAAGGGGGAAAATCATACAATCATCTCAAAGGATGCAGAAAAGTGCTTACATAAAATTCAATATCCACTTATGATAAAAATTCTAGGTGTAGGAACAGAAAGAAGCTTCTCTAACTTGACAAAGAGAACATTAAATGCACTCCCTTTAAGATTAAGAACAAGATAAGGGTGTTAGCTATTGGAAGGCTTAGCCAGCAAAATAAGGCAAGAAAACAGGTAAGTTGGGAAAAAGAAATAAAACTTTCTTCTTAGATAATCTGATTATGAATATAGAATATCCTAAGGAATATAACAATTTATTATCAGAATAAGACAGTTTAATAAGGTTGCAACACACAAAATCTATTTAAAAATTGCTTTTGTGGGCTTCCCTGGTGGTGCAGTGGTTGAGAGTCCGCCTGCCGATGCAGGGGACACGGTTTCCTGCCCCAGTCCAGGAAGATCCCACATGCCGCGGAGTGGCTGGGCCCGTGAGCCATGGCCGCTGAGCCTGCGCGTCCGGAGCCTGTGCTCCACAACGGGAGAAGCCACAACTGTGAGAGACCCATGTACCGAAAAAAATAAAAAATAAAAAAATTGCCTTTGTTATACACCAAATGAAAAAAATTTAAACAATTTTATTTATAGCACTTAGAAAATATAAAGTCCTGGGAATAAATCTCTCAAACTACAGCAAGTCCTATAAACAGAAAATTATAAAACTTTATTTTAAAATAATAAAGAAGAGATAAATAAAGGCTCACTTATTGAAAGACAACATTGTAAAGAAATCAGTTCTTCCCAGATTCATCTATGGATTCAAAGCAATTTCATATCAAAATCTCAACAAGTTATTTTCTTTCTTCTTTTCTTTCATTCTCTTTCTCGGGGCAGCGTGTGTATAATTGACAGGCTGAATCTAAAATTTAAATAGAAAGGCAAGAGCCAACATGTTCTTTAAAACAATAAGTAGAGGGACTTGCACTATCAAGATATCAAGACTCATCACAAGGCTATAATAATTAGGAGAGTGTGATATCAGTGCAGGGATAAACAAACAGACCAGAAAAGAGAGTCTGGAAACAAAGCACGTATCTTTGGACACTTGAAACGTGACAGAGGTGGTACTGCAACTCAGTGAGGAAAG